AATCATTTCTATTAATCTCAATTGCAAAAATTTGCAATCTCACACCGTAAGATTGTAACCCAACGCAAAGACCTCTGTTTTTTGGGGATATTATAAAACGTGATAAGTAAGTTAAATGAGTTTATCGTCTCCCGTAGAGTTTTATGTGAATTGCTAAATAGAAAACGGACGTAAATGGGAACGCTTAAAGCAAATTTAATATACACATGGTGCTAACTAATTTCATTCCTATAGAAGCGAATCTAAATTTAACCGTAGATTTGAGGTCTTAAAATATTTTTGCTTGCTGGAAATGTGTTTAACAATTTTGGCAAATTTAATGCAATTATTGGATGATGTACAATGTGTATTTAAAATTTTCAGAAAATCGTACTAAAATTGCGCCGATAACTGACACAACTCCACCATGCCAATTATTTGCAATTACTTCTGCAAATCGCTTACGCTTGCAAATCATTTATATTGATAATAAAATTTGGAAAGTAAATACATTAATTATTATGCTTCTCTAAATGCAAATTCTAACGAACTTTTACTGTAAATATGCATTTTTTCATTCAAAGAATAATTATTCACAACGACCCACAAACAACTTATTTTGATCTCGAAAAGTGAACGCGGCAGGGTAAATATTTTAATTTTCTTACGTGGAATGGCAACATCTCCTTCTTATTATTATGCTCATCCAATTTTCCGGGGATGCTATCAAGTTAGTGCTCAGTGAGCGTGAAGACAATATATTAGTTAACCTAAATTATAATTAATAATCAGCGCTGTTCGCGACATGTGAGCGCGTAAAACTTGCTATGAGGACAAGATGTTTGCTGTCAGTTACTCGAATCTCTGAGCAAAATTGTTCAGGAAATGATTTCAGTCCCGAGGTTACTGATGATATGCAATTTCCATTTGGATACTGAAAATCTCCTAATAAGGGAAATAATTACAAGTGGAGCAGTTCACAAAATGGGAAGCTTGGTGCATTCGAGTTGCCTTCGTTGGAAGCTCTAATTTCTTCTCCCTTGCTATTTGTTCTTATTCTTCCCCCAGTATTTGTCCCTTCCTTGGGGACAGGTTGGCAAGCCTGAAGCGGGAGAGCGTGGGGGTGAGAGGGTGAAACCCTCAGTTTGGGGGAGAGCGAGTGAGGGAAGAGTTGTTTTTAAAAGGAGCCGTCATCTCGGTTCCAAGAGGGCAGCTTTATATTCTGCTCGGCGAAAGAGGGAGGTTTTAAGATCATTCGTCGAGTGAGAAAAACTCCATGGAGCAGGCGGAGTCTGGTTAGTGAGGGAGCCTCCCTCGCTCGGAGAGGCGGAGTCTTAATTTTGAACTGAGAGTCCGTTACTGCTGTTGGCTGAGGTACGAGACTTTGATCAACGAAAATATTACCTCCGTTTTTTGTGCTTCTCTCCTCTCCTTTCCAAGCCCAAGGAGTTTTGAATTCACTTTCGATGACTTTGATGGAATATTATTATGGAACGGAGAGGACGGTGCCTGTGCTGCTACAAATGGATGCGCATTTGTAAGTAGCTTCGGGGGCTACTCGTGCAGCCAAACCTTATATTCTTGCCCTCAAATAGGCAAGGGAAACTTGTCTCTGCCGGAACTCTTTATTCTCCAGCTGCGATGCCGCTTAAAAGGAAATTGGAGAGCACTCAGCCCTTCCAAAAGCCCGAAACTCTAAAGAAATTCTTCAGCCGATAATTTCAGGCCAAATGGAAATTCTTTAGGTAGAACAGAGGCACTTTCAATCACTGCAGCTAAGCTTGCATTTTCCTGCCGATTTGACGAGAAGCTCCTTAACATGACACCCAATCACATTATCTGCAGTGCATTTCTTAACAACTTTTATTCATTGAGTTGTAGTAAGGAAATTAATTAAGACTTACTTACCTGAAACTCAGGACTAAAAATTCACAATGATTTAATGAGACGTGAAGTTGATTCACGTTCTTTGAGCGTCACTTGCTATCATCATTCGTGCCACGAACTTCATTCATGCATATAATTATGCCAGTAAAATAAACCCAGAGTTTAAATAGAATACAGCTCACATTGAAGAATAAATTATTAATTTTGTTCGCCTTCGGGAAGAATCATTTGGTAGGTTAGAAAGTCATTAGTCTAGTAAGAATTAAACTCTATTAATCAAACAATAATTTGAAGAGGAATGCAATTTAGACCTAATCCAATCTTTGGATGGCACTATTAAAATAAAAATCCAACTCATCGGAGTATATCCCTTAAGAAAATTACATTAAATCAATAGTTCAAGATTCCAGCTTTACTTTAATATATTCATGATCGTGAAGCATTGAACGGCTCCTCAGTCAAATCGTGGGTGCTATAAAAAATGTTGATCTGCTGAACTTTGGGGGTATTATAGAAAACTGCTGTTTTTAATATAATTTGAATACATTGCACCTCGTGGTTGACTACAAATATTTTGATTTTCTCATCCGATGATCTGATTGATTCCCTCCCGTCATCTGACGAAGAGTCATACTTGAATTCAACTTTGTTTCGTTGAATCAACATTAAATAAATCTTGTTTAGAGGTAAATAAAATTCTAGACTGATAGGAAGGAGCCGCATCGTGGCGTGCACAACCCGTGGAGTTTTCGGCGCTGTAGGCGTCAGTCAAGACGCGCGCGGCGGTCGACGCGCGATCGATCGCAACCTCGGGCCACCGCAGGGCGTCTAGAACCTGGCGTGGTTATGGTGCAATAACCTCTGCTGCTCGTACCTGCATATTGGTCATAAATGGCGTGGTTATGGTGCAATAACCTCTGCTGCTCGTACCTGCATATTGGTCATAAATGGNATAATAACCAATGTCACGTAATTGACCCGTAATAATAACCACTGTCACGTAATTGACCCGTAATAATAACCAATGTCACGTAATTGACCCGTAATAATAACCACTGTCACGTAATTGACCCGTAATAATAACCAATGTCACGTAATTGACCCGTAATAATAACCAATGTCACGTAATTGACCCGTAATAATAACCAATGTCACGTAATTGACCCGTAATAATAACCACTGTCACGTAATTGACCCGTTATAACAACTACTGTCATATAATTCAACCGTAATAATATCCAGTCTCATGTAATTACCACCATAGTTCGAGTGTAAGTCTAACATGGAGCCCATGCAAAAGATGTAAAGATGATGAAATTTCTATCCAAGGTTGAAAAAATATAACTTAGTACTCAATGCAGTGAGTGCATGACAGAGAGCGCATTTTCTCGTCAACAAAAACGTGAAGTCACGGACGGACAGACAGACGGACGGACGGACGGACAGACGGACATGGCGAGCACAATAGATAATTTTTTTCATAAATGAGAAAATGCGCTAAAAACGACCAAAAATGCTAAATATTATTCGAAATTGAATCGTAACTTGACACATGCAAACCGTCCGTTGGTCATATTATCCAGTCGTGAATGGCAATTAGATTATTCTTTTCAATCGGGCAAGTCCTGCAATCGGAAAATTTGAATCAATTGAATATTTTAGATATGATCATATATACAGTAATTAACCTATAAATAAATCTTCCAATCCTATTCAATTTTTTATTAAGATTTTAAGAATAAATAGATGTAAGTTTAAGTTTCATTATAATGATAGAAGCAGCCTCCGTCTTGAGACGAGAATGATGTATTGGGCCGCACAGGCGTCGAGTGAAGCCATTCGTTAGCGCATGTTTACCAGCCGGGGCGAGTCGCTCCGTAGATTTATGATGTAATACCGTCGAGACCTGAACCACCTATACTCCAATCCTTACATATATTTATAGGAGGTGTGTTCCTTCGACAAAACTATGTCCAGGACATCGTTTTTTCCCAGATTTTTTTCAGAAGTTTGTTTGAAGAACTTACAATTACTATGATGTTAATGGAAAAGATTTGGCATCTTCCGGGAATAGTTTATTTTATGAATAACACTGTAATTCAATCGTCATATTGTCCCACCGTAATTAGATGATTTCTTACAATCACATTTCTAGTGTCAAAAATAATTATAATTGATACAACGCGAGAGCTAACTGCATGGAGGCAATTTTCTTGCAGGAATTTACGAAGAACTTAGAAAGGAGCTGTCTCTCACCGTCTTCTTTTCATACTCCACGACACAAAGCGAAAGATTAGACTCAGATTTTCTGCATTAAAATTAAATTGAAAATTGTTTCTAAAAACTAGATTATATTTCTGATTTAATTCTGCAAAGACTCTCATAAATATTTTCCAAGAATATATTTTTCCCATCTCTCTGATTCCTGCCTTAACGTGGTGAGCTTGACTCGGATTTTTTGAGGTACAACGTCTCGTCTATACGAGCGGCGATGTCTAGTCTATTATCAATATAAAATCGTCGCGTTCCGTCGTCAAAAAAACTAACATAAGCCTCTGGATACATGAAAAATTTATGAACGGATTCGTGGATTTTAATATTGCAAGGCTGAGCTCTCGGCTTCGTGTTCGACGAAGATTCTGTTTAGTTCCTGCATTTTGCAAAAGTGGATTATAAATCCTTTGGCTAAGAACATTAAGCAGGGAAGTGAAATCCGATTGCGGCTGAAAATTAAGCTCTTGTGACGTAAGATTACAGAAATATAGATGCAATAATTAATAAACTTCACAGAATTGTGTAATGGAAAGCAAAATATTGGAAGTAGTTCCGTAGGTTTTTATAAAAAAATTTATGGATTTGTTTAGGAAATTTGAATATTCTTGAGCACTCTCCATATTTGAAAGATATTTTATTACACGCTGCATTATCATTTTTAAAATAATGTTTGCTGACTCATCAACTTCGGTCGTTGATACGATATTGACGTATGTTATATATGGACAACTCAATACTTCACTATTCATTGAATTCGATTATTATTGTATAATTTCATGCATTTTTGGAATTTACAATAGTTTTACTGTTGCTGAATTTATTTGCTGACAATTAATAGCTGTGAATTCTTTTGTGTGCAGTTGTACCGCACGGTTGAGAAAATGTGCGGTAATTCAGGCCAGTCCAACCCCAACACAACTTCCAATGAAGCTACGGACGCACAAAACATCGTAGAAAAGATTAGAAATGCAGAATCAAGTTCCGGTGAGAACTACGCTGGAGCTTTGAATGAAGCCACGGTTGGGAATTCAACCTCTTCTTCTTCGATAGCTGACACGAGGATGACGATTAAAAATGTCTCCGAAGAAATGGACACGACTCCTCTAGGAGAGATCATCACTAAAGGTCGTGATACTAATTTTTCTTCAGCATATGTTCCGACGAGTTTGGGGAACTCAAGTCTAGCACAATTTGGACTAAGCCAATATTCGGGTGAAGGAGGATCGTGTGGTACGAGTGCTCCTGATATTCAGAGTCTCCAGCAAAGTCTGACTAATTTCCAGAATCAGTTTTCAAAAAATTCCTCAGGTAGCTTCATCCAACTCAACACTGCTGAAACATCTTCTGGAAGCACGCTTGCCACTTCATCACTTTCGTCCGTGCTAACAGCTGCTTCTCCAGCCTCAACGACGTCTGCAATGACATCATCGCTACCTCCGCTCCTGCAGACTCTGCAGAATAGCATCAATGGTGCCTCGGGAGTCGGCAACGATGGCAAACTTTCGAAAATAGAAAGTGTCGCTGAAGATAATTCCAGTCACCGTCGCTCCTCATCCGCGTCTCCACGTCGTACGCCTTCACCTCCAGGCGACTCCAAGTCACTCCAGATGCAACCGAATCAAAATGCAGCCGATCGTGAAAATATTGACCAGCAAAAATCTGGCGACAATCAATGTGATAATACAAGTGCAGTTTTGCTTTCAACTTCAACACCGTCCAATCGAGCTGCTTCGCCATACCAAAGCACCAATGCTGATGATGTGTCCAGATCTTCACCACCTCCACATCAAATATCATCACCTTTTACTGCTCACAATACCTCGCCTGTGGCATCACTCCTCTCAAGAACACCAAACATCAACAAAGAACCTCCAAATGACGTCAACAGCTCGCCACTTCCAGGGGAAGACATAGAAGAACATCATAAAATGGTAAAAATTAAAAAAAATGTTACTGAAATGAAAACATAAAACTTTTTTTGTGGATTAGGGCTCTTTTAATTACTAAAAATAGAGTTAATTTATTATTTTCAAATTATGAAACTCATAGAAGAAATAATGTCTGCAAACTATCATTTGTCGACATTCATCAAACCATCATTAGCCAGAAGACATTTTTTACATCAATATTTCGCTTAACAATTTCATAAAAAGTAACAAAAATAACGAAATTCTCTCCCACGTAAGTTGACAGACTTGCAAATCCAACAGCCTTCTCACGCCTCGTTCATTCTGCAGGTCTGTCGTAAAACTTGACGCATATTTTCAGCGAGCGCGGATCTAACCGTAGCTCTACTATGGGCTTCATTTTTTCTTCTAGCTATCAAAGAGCGACCGAAAAAAACGTTGTCTGCATGCTCCCGTTGCAGAATCATTGATGACCATTGAGGCCAAGCCAATGTTTTTTGTGGCGCAAGTCAAACGCTTTTTCTCAACGGGGGACTAGCTGTTTCCCACTGCAATATATCTCCAGCTTTTGTAAATAACAATTTGTATAATTTTTATAGGTAATATTCAAAGAGTGGATCACATGATCTTAACAGTGATATTTAAACAAACGCGAAGAGCACTATTTGACGAATTTTTTAATATTGCGTGAGTATTGCATAAAAATTTTTTCCTATTACAACAAATCCTGATTTCATCGCATTCATTTTCACATGAAAACGATAGTGTTCACTGTTCACGCTCTACCTGATTGTGTTCCTGATAGTGTTCACGCTCTACACTGTTCTACGACCTAGATCAACTTTAAGACTCACCGGCTTCGAGTTCGACATTAATTCAAAAAATGAATTTGCAAACCACCGTTCAATGGCATAGCCAGAACCTATGCACTGGCCATGTTTCAAAAATTTTTCCAATTATTCTGCAATCCAAAAAAGTGACACCGTCGGTTAGAGGGAGATAGGCCTACAGGACCATCGATCCTCGGTTGCAGTTGATCCCTGTAGGCCTATAAAAAATGCAAATAATTTGGATTTGATGAAGAGGAGATTTTTGGCTTTAAAACAACAGCAGCTTTGGTTTGTCGTCTCGTTGCATCGTTAATTTTCTTAAAAATAACCAAACAATGTTTGTACGAGGAGGGTTTTACTGCGGAAGCAACATTGCGATCGTGTCCGTGTTATAAAAAGATTAGTGTATTTCACAATTTGATATTTGTTAAAACAAAGTTTCGATACCTTGTATTGGGCGCCTTTATTCCAAACACGATTTTGAATATCAAAATTCTAAATCGTGTTATTCCGCTCAACCGATCAGAATTCAGATATTGTAATTTCATTGAGGAGGCCTCCGTTGATTCGTTCCTCATCATTATTTGGATGCTCGCCGGGTTTTTATTACATTTTGATTTTCTCCCGCATTCATATTAAGTGCATGTTGATATAAGATATAATATTATTATTAGCTTTCAAGGCTTTCGATTGTCAAAACCACTGATTATTTTTTATTTGGCTTAATTGAATATTATATTGAAATCACATATCAACATTATCAGGACAAGATCACTGCTAGATTATCCGCATTCGTAAATGGCGAATGCTAATTTATCCATTCAAAATTAATTTTCATCGGTCCTATAAATGACCAGATGCATTAATAAGTGTTTACATGTGATGCAGCTGCAACATATATTCCTGTTTGCGTGGAAGTCTCCAAATAGAAAATGCATTTAATTTTTTGGTCCAATGTAAAGACGAGAGCTTACAGCAGGCGCCAAAGCTAATGAGGTATCACTGATGCCGGTTGCTGATCTGCTCTTTGGGTTCCAGGTTTTAGATGGACCCTAATTTGACTTTTTGATGAGAAAATTTCATATGAGTTTGATTGATCTTGTAATAGGCTCGGCAAAGGAGGCAAACTCATCTAAAGTATCTTCCTTCACTTCTGTGTAGTTTCCTGCTTCACTACAACAAAAAAATTTTCCTCACTCATGTATAGTATCCTCCTTTACTGTGTCATATTATTCTTTCTCACTTCTGCACAGTATCCTCCATCACTCCTGTATAGTATCAATCAAAATTTTTTATGGTATCCATCTTAATTAACTTCTTTATTACATGCTGTTTTAATCCAGTATTGTATCCTCCTTCACTCCTGATTAGTATCCTCTTTTAATCCTGCATATTATCCCATTTTACTCCTGCAAGGTATATATCTCAACTTCTCTATTATACACTGTTTTAATCTTGTATAGGATCCTCTTTCTTTCCTGATTAATATACTCATTTAATCCTGTATTGTATCCTCTTTTACTCCTGTACAGTATCAATCTTCACTCCTGATTAGTGTCCTTTTTTAATCCTGTATAGTATCCTCCTTCACTTTGAATGTTTTTTGTTAAGTAGTTTGATTCTATGTTTACTCACTCCATAACATTAACTGAAAAATTAATACTACATATATAATATTATATATTGAACACACAATGGTAATATTACTAATAGTCATTCTGTTAATAACAATAAGGTTAATTACAACTTAATAACCTGTAAACAAAATTTTTATGCACACAATGATGTTCACAATACAACATTCCAGATGAATATGAGATGTTCTCTCCGTCTTGCTTAGAATTAAACGATTGAGCAATAAGTTAAAATAACAGAGCATATTTCCTCAATTAACGGCAATAATTTATCCATTGGTTTAGGTCGATTTATTGATTCGATTATATAAACCCATATGGTTTGCTTAACAGCTTTGATCCAATTTCCCATATTTTGATTACAATGCAAACAATTAAAGCATAAAGTCATTTTTATACACACATTCACTTCTCGTTAGGAGGCTTTACGTCAACAGCCCCTGACAAAAGTATAAATTTTTTGTTGGGCGTTTGGAAACCTCCCATGTAGAGGGGTAGGCCTCTGCGTCTATAGGCCTTTGTGTTGGCTGCGCGTGCCGGGTTTATTTCAGTGTAATCGACCAAAGACGAATTTTCAGCTTTCTTCAACAAAATCAGACATTATTTTATATTGTGTTCGAATATTAAATATTATTTTGTTAACTAATTCATTTGCCACAGAATCTGAAATGATTTTATTTCGGTTTTTGGAAATAAAGTACTGTTTTGGAGATACCAAAAATTCCCATTTTCCTAAACAAATTATTAATATATATTCTTTAAAGAATAAAGATATACTTTTACTGTACCAGCTACCATAACCACCACACAATAGCAGCTGCAACATTTCGTGCAGTTGCAGGAGCGTCCGATCAACCCTCCCTTGCCGCCGTTGGCTAGATAGGCATCGCCTTGCCTAGGCCAGTTTTTTGCGGCTTTACGCAAAATTGACGACTCATTGGATCGATAAATTCTAAGTGCATTGATGATTTTACACAGAAGAGTGGACACTCGCACGGCCTGGGACACACGCTTGCAGTTCATATCAAACAGCGCATCCCTCGTGTCACCAAAAAAGAGCTTTGCAAAGCTCTCCAGCACGAATATATGTATAGCACGCGCCGGCTTAGGCCTCTTCAATAGGCCTGTTTCCCGGATAATGGGGAAAATTTCGAGCGCAACACATGGTGCAGTTGAGCTTGCATTGCGTATTTGTTTTTAGCCAATTTAACGGATGCAATGAAATGACATTGCATATTTTGATTACGTTTACGGATGCAATGAAATGACACTGCATATTTTGATTATGTTTACGGATGCAATGATATGACACTGCATATTTTGATTATGTTTACGGATGCAATGAAATGACATTGCATGGTTTGATCATGTTTCAGATGCTAAAATTTCACTTTATGGGCTATTTTTCTTGGTTTCAGATCGATTTATTCATTAATTCATTTCAAATGCTAAATATATAAATGAATAAAATAAGAAGGTAATATATAATTAAATGAGTTCTTGGTATCACAGGTAAGACATTTTAATTTTTATACAAATAATCCAGGCTGAAGTGATGTTCTCTCTGATTGCATGTAATTATTAAGTTTTTAAAATACAGCTGGAAAGATGAATGGATGTTTCATTCATTCTGGATTCAACAGTTGTAGCGAATTCATTCTGGATTTCGCGGTTGTAGCGAATGCAAGATGCCCTACTTAAAACTTAAAATTGATTGTCATTTTGCTTACGTTGTTCTTTACTGATTTGGAAAAAATGCATTTTTGTTTAATAAATTTTCAATCTCCCATTCAATTCCAAACTACATCATTTTTCATTTCATCTCTTCAGACTTAAAACAAAAGTTTGATATCAAAACTTAGTTTCCGAGTAATAGTCAAACTTTTGAAGCAATTGTCCAAAAAAAAGTTCAGTGGCCAACAAACAGTTTGCACGGCCGCAGCTATCATCTTCATATTGACCATATTAGCGGGACTTTTTGCTGCACTTCAAACGCAGTTGTAGCGAATATGCGTGCGCATACGAACAAGACCTCCCAGCATGCGCATGGCGCTCGTCTTTTGTTGTTGTGTTTACACGTCATTGCTCTGCAGTGTGAGGCTTGTAGCGGGCAGCCTATGGCTAGTTTTTTAGGCCCATTCTCTACAAAAGATGGCATATAGTGTAAGCGAGAGAGGGTAGCCCTTGTGCTTCTCGTTTACAATGCAGCTGCACGTAAGGAGACGGTCAGTTGCACAACACTGTACAGTCGCGACAAATGACCACTGTTTCATTGCGAGAAATCAGCAAGTTTTCATCCAAATATAGTGATCCATTTAGCGTGCTTGTTTCAGTCATCCTGACTGATCCTGTCATCCTGACTGAATTTAACCCGACGAAATTGCGCATCAGTGCAATGCAGTTAGCGTGTCAGTATTGCATGGACCACATGACCCCATATATTTTTCCGAGTGTCCTTTAGTCGTTTTTTTTTGTCGGCCAGCGGTGATACAACTGTAATTCTCAGAAGTAAAAATTTAATCAGTTTATACAAAATACGTACTGCCGCTATTCAAGGAGC